GTTGTAAACTTTTTTGTTAATTTGTACGAAATACTTTATGGTATTAGTGTATACTACCTGTCTGAAATGTTCACTTTTCAATCATTTCTACTTTAAAATGTTTGATTTTTTTTTTAATTTTTCCGATTTTTATGGCACAGTTCATATCTAAATACAAGACTGTTTACCACGCTCTAAAATGTTCCGCAAAAATACGAAAATTTGTAAAGGTTGACGCTCCTTCAGAATTTTTTGAAAACTTTACAACCAGTATGACTTACATTGTGTATAAATTTCTTTTGTGTAGCTGAAAATGAATGATATGTGAGGCTTGTATGATATTTAAATTGTATTTGACTTATGTATTGTGACTTTAATTAAATTCAGATGAAAATGAATGATATTTAAATAATAATAAACTTACGCGTTGTGACTTAAATAAATTCAGGTGAAAATATTTAAAACAATTGTTGATTTTAAAAAAGTAGAATATTAATAAAGAGTTTGTTTATTTTTGCTTGTGTTTGAATGAAATACTAGTATATAGACATTTGCTAATACTTTTCACTCATACATATTTTAAGAAGCACTGAGTAAATGCTTACGTGATTTTTATATAAAATTTTATTTGTATAAGAAAATGCTGATTTATATATATTTTTTAAATTGCTTCAAAGGAATTATTGTTAAATGAAATTGTAAAAAAAAAAAAAAAAAAAAAAAAAAAAAAAATCAACAGAGATGCCAGATTTATGACAATCTTACACTTTAATGACATTGCATTAATTTAAAATCAATTGAGGTTGAAAATATTTTCGAGGGATCTGACCCTTTTATCATTAAACGATTATACAAGTTATGTATCCATGATGTTTATACTTATATGGCTTAAAATAAAACAGCTAGTCACGCGATAGTTAAAATCATTCTTCTATCTAAGCTTCGGTTTGGGCGCCTTTGGTTCTGGTAAAATGCGATACTCTCTCAGATTCTTATCTTCTCTGGATATTGGTAAATCTAGTCTTCGCAGGGTGTAGTACTGATGTCACTGTATACATAGTTGGACAATAAACCTTGAGTGGCTGGGTATCGGATGGATTGTCGGTATAAGGAATTTACCGGGGGATGCCAAGTGGATTGTGTTGGTATGTGTTATTGCCTTTGTGAGATATATAATAGGATGAAGCAAGATGACGTTGTCGCATGTCTTGGGTAACAGATTTGTAGGCTTGTGTCATGTCTAGAATGAGATTAATATTACATGAAAAAGGATTAACGAAGTACAAATTAAAATATGATATAGCTTCAATGTTTCGACCATTGTTTGTAAGACAATTAAGGGTTATAATGACGGTATCAGCGTGAATTATCCAGGGCTCACATCTTGCTGATATGAAAAAAAGTATTGGGAGTATTCTACATTGATGAAGCACAGTAATTAGTTTCATGTGCAACTGTCTTCTTTATCACAGAGAGTTTTAAGTAAAATTTATTATTATCTTTGTTTATGCTCAAAGTTGTCGCAATACATAATTGAAAAAAATAATTAAAAATATTAATATTGTTTTGTTATTTATTTCCTATTAAACGCCTACGTAATTTCTTTCTTGTAAAAGATAGGAATTTAATGACTTTTAACATACATTTGTTTTATCCTCAAGCATTTATAAATCGCCTCGATGTACAAAGAATTAACAAAAATTCCACTTCAACAAGTGAAGGAGGTTGAACTGATATATATGATGTTCCTCTCTTTCAGAATAATGAATATTTTCCGTAGTACAGAATTTAGCTGCAAATAATTGCTTTGTAGATTTGGAAATAAGGTATCCAATGAAATTGGAGTTAAGAGTCACGTGGTATGAGTGTATGAGGAGTGTTTGAATAGCACGAGGAATCAATTCTAATTCGTCTTCTCAAGAAGACACATAAACTTAGTAAAAAGTAGAATTTTAATTATATGCTCAGTATTTTCATATTCATTTTGGTATTGTATAATATAGGGCAAAGGTTTAACGAGGTGTCTTTTCTAGAAAACAGTTTTTATCTCACTCTGGCCAGCCAAGTTTTATATCAGTATTACAGCATGTTATGTATTACTTATATATACATTTATATATGTTATATGATATAAACATTTGTATGTTATATGAAATATATTATATTTGTTAACTGTTCTAATAAACTTTCGGCTCCCCTATATGCTTCCTGGGCTATTTGCGTGTTCTTTTGTAAGAATAAAAAAAATATACATGTATATTTGCAAAGACCCATGGATTGTCATTCAGTTGAAATATACAAGATCAATATACATACATGGTAGACATAAAATAATATGATTTCAATAGTTTTCAGTGGATATCTTTTTTTAGAAGCATTCTTCGGAAAACGATAAAATAGAAATGAATATCCCTTCCATGTAAGATCTCGTGCCAGAAGACATGATTAGATGATGTGTATTGTTAGCAAACTAAGTTGACTAGGAAGAGTGATATACACTCAAATGAGAATTTGTTTGTTGTTTAGCCAAAAACCATAAAACACAATGAGAATTACAAATAGATAAAAAACAAGTTTTAGTCTACAAGTGAAGTGTCAAGGGTTAAGCATCGTATCACTTTAATAGAAGTGGAACATCAGCCAGGCGCCATGGTAAGGATTGAGAAGCCTTTACTCAACTGTCATGCCACACAAGAAAACTTTGTGGTGCACGTGTAGTGTTATTCCGCGATTTAACGAAGCGTGACTAGACTACTTTCACAATCATCTGACCTTTCTTACCCAGCACTTGATAAAATACAAAGGCAGTCTCGGATGGACTTTCAAATGTTCCGGTCTAATGAGAGTGAAATTGCCGGTAGACGATGTAAGATGTTGGAAATTGATTCAATATAAAACAGACAATATTGACGGCATAGGTAATTAATATCAAGCGCCTTTTACCATTCAAAGCTTTGAAACATACACGGATCCAACTATCTAGGCGATTTCCCGATAAGCATTTTCTCTCTGCTTACAAGAGAACTTCTAGATGCGAACAGAGACTGTGTAACAAATTCAGACTCTTGACTGCGAATTTGTTAAGCTAATCTGTTTATGTGTTTTATCAGATTACAGAAGGTGAGGTTTTCCGCGCCAAAAAAGGCAGCATGTTGGGTGAATGGTCACGCTATGGCTCAGAGTTCAGAACCAATGAGGCAAGCTCAAAGGAAATGAAAACAATGAGATAAAACTGACAAACTGTCATAACAAAGGAAGCGCTTTCATATGTTAGAAGTTAGGCTTTCGTTTTATGTTGAAGATAATTTTTTCATACGGGTCCATTGGTACAATGGCAAGGAAATAAAATTTAACCCCTTAGCTTAATGCAGTGTTCAATTCAGTTCTCAGTTTTAATTACAACAAAATGGTTCTACACTTCTTGCTTTGTCAATATTTCCTGTTTATTACAGTTAGCTAGTTTTTCATAAAAATACAAGGAAATACTAAACACCATTTTTTTTCAATTTATATTCATTTAATGTTAACCTTTTTTCATGTACATTTTTCTAAGAGCGTGATTGCCTTGCTCCGACATTGTGTTGAGTATACGACCCAGCCCGCCATCAACCTGAGAAGCTCCCATGTTGTTACAAGTCCCACATTTCTTAAATTTCCTCAAAATCATTCTACAACAAAGCTTTATATCAGTTCGCAAATATTTTGGCAAATTACGCGATATTTTGGTATTATTAAATAACGACTCCACTTCACGAAATATCGGGTTAGGCCGCCGTCAAACCCAGAAACAATGGCTTCCTTGGATACTGTGAAACAGATACAGGAGTTCAGAAAAATTTGATCTCAGTCCTTGGTTTCAAGTTTTTTGAAATTGGTTAGACTTACAACAACAACATCTTAATTTTCAGACCATGTCTAATAATGAGCTTATATTTCTGTCTTGAAATATTTAATTTCTTTTAAGTTTAAATTGGGATCAATTGATTAATTCAGAACAAATGAACTTCTTAAGGAGGAAGCAAGGATGTCACGAATGTTCGTTTATAACGTTCTCATGCCAAGTTAATCACCAATTAAATATGAATTAATACTTTACCATTAAGTTTTAATTGATCAATACGTAAAAACTGGTGAAAACAATACCAGAAAATGTTTTCGTTTTATCGATATATCAAATAATATGAAAAGGATTGTTCAATATCACTCATATTTTATTATGCATAGGAATCGGCCAAACGTTTACCTTGACTCCCTGAATTCCTCTTATTCAGTCCCGGGGAAAGGGGGGGGGGTGCAGTTGCACTAGCTGGTGTTAATATATGTACTTGAAGTTTTAACTTGATGGACACCTGCGATTCATCGTTTATTTTTAAAAGGTAAAACAGGTTTAGGAAAACAGACCAGTTCAAAGTTTCATAAAGTATTGTTTAATTTGTTGTAAGAATGAATTGCTTTATTTAACCTTGATTAAACAATTTTCATGTATAACTGTAATTTCTATCGCCGATAGTTTAGTAGAGTCAAGCAGAAATATATTAAAGAACTGCCTTATTCCTATTGAAATGTATATAAGAGAAAATTAAATATAAAATTTTATCGTTTGACTTTTATAAATGCGATAAATGTATTTGTAAAGGCTCGAAAGAGTCCTGCTTAGTTTAGGAAGTCTTCTGGCGACATAGAGGTGAGGTATGCAGTACGCAATACTGCCCTAATGTAGATTTTCCAAAGGGTTTGGAAAAGTTTTGGAATTCCATGGAATTCCAAACATTTCCATACAAGAGTCTAAAAGTGTTTTTGGAAGTTTTTGGAATCTTTTGGAATTTGAATAACAAATTTGGACTTAGACATTTTGAGGTTTGGAAAGTTGTGGAATTCTATGGAAAAGCTGATAAAATGAGAAACTTAGACATTTTCTGCTCTGGAAAGCTGTGGAAAATAACTTAGAATTTTTTCTTAAACTGTCGGCTCATAGTACAATTACGTCGGGATCGATGTCGGGATCGATGAACAATTAATTTAAACTACAGCCCGCCAAAATTCAACAATTCGGCTGCCATGTTGTATTGTTGGACAGAAGGAAAGAGAGTGTCACGAAGAAGGGAACTGCTGTCATTATTAGCTTGGAATGGAATTTGTATTTTGACAAAAGATGCAGACATTTTAAGACCCGGTAGGTACAATGTACAGTAATCAGTATTTTATGTGTTCTTGAACTTGAATGGATAATTGACTGTTCCTCAGTCTGCACGTCTGGGCACCACACACATAGAATGCCCGACGATGAAACCATTAGGGCGAGTTTCATTTCTTTAATAATTATTGTACAACTCTAAACATCTCTTATCAAAATATGTTTGAACAATGTGTGGATTTCAACCCGAATTTCCTCCGTTCGTACATGTCCTTAGACCTCGCTATATATGCTAGTGGCACGTTGCCAATTGCGCCACGACAGTCCATGTTACATCGTACACAGACATCATAACACTATTAGTGTCTCCAATATGTTGCAACATGCAACATCTAAATTAGCTATCTTTACCATGTTTACAACAAAGAAAAAACGTGTAGACGGTGGTAGACTAATAATGCTCTATAAGCTGTCTATGTGATATAAAGTTGTGCACAACTTAGTTGCGGTAGACCCAAGCCTCTATTTAGTTTCACAGACTACCACCAACAAAGGCATTTCAAGTCTTCCTTACTTTCAGACCTTTAGTACTTGCACAGATAATTTAAATATAGTTCCCCCCCCACCCCATTATGGAAATTTATTTCTCTTCCATGCTCAGTGGTGTCGGCAGCCTCTTTGGGGCCAGTTCAGAACTCTGGTCCAAATTATTAGCTAATAACATTCCTTAGTACATGTACTACTTACATTTACAGAGTACATTGTAAATAATTGTATCTATTTTTTAATGCATGTTCATGATCATTCACAGCACTTACTTTTATTATTTTATAGCTGAAGTACTCGATTTGCACAGCGCCGGCATATAATCATCAAGTTTGATGAAATGTCCTAATATGTAAATGTAGATGCTAAGTCATTCAGTCATCTAGCTTGTGAGAATGGTGAGAGCCTGCTCAAATTATCATTCAGCACAAATAAACTAACATTGTTTTTATTAATTAATGTTTTATAGCGTAAGATTTTTTTTATTGAGCAAGTAACAAGAGGTTTATATTCTTAATTCCTTAATAATGCATAACAATTATAACTTTTGACAGGTAATCTAAACATGCTAAATGCTACATGCATAATCATTTTACATTTTATTTAAGTATAAATATTAAAAATGACTATACTCTATGACATAAAATCATGCATGCATTATTTACAGGAATGCTCACAAAAAGGACAAGAGCGAGAGAGCTGTATGGAAATTTACACAAAGGTAAGATTTTTTAATCATTTTCCTAATCAATAAAATCAAAAGAATTGAAATTATGTGTTTATCAATGTTAGCCAGGCATTGAGAAAAGTTATTATGAACCTTAGTTAGGCTCCACTCTTTCAAATATATTTTAGTTATTTTAAGAAGTTGTTGCTTTTAACTTGTTTCCTATGTCAGTTCTCTGTCCTGTTCACAAGTTTTTACCTACGCCTTGTCAATGTCATTCATCATATTCTTACACAAACCTATAACCTTAGTCGCAGATATAAATTTCCAGAAATAAAGAAGTACATGTATACATGTACTAATATATTATCTTACTCAATACTGAATTGTTGAGGCATGGAAGTTACATGTATTTATAACAGTTTATTTAATATTTTCTTAATTTTTCAAAAATAAAGTATATGTACATGTACATGTATTTGCATGTTTGAAGCCTAGAACAAATGTATTCTATATATTCACTTTATGTTATTTGCTTTGTCTATATTTTTGTTACATTGTAAATTAACCAATGTGCATTTAAAGCAATTACATATGCCTATAAATTCGTCTTTTCCTCTTTTCAAGGGTCAGTTAACGGAGTAAGCTGATATGGAGGATAATATATCCTCGGATAATATATCAAAGGCAGCATAGGCATCCAAACTCCTGTTCAAGGTGCTTTTAATCAGAAGCTTAAGAGACAAAAGACGAGCCATTGACAAGGCAAAACTGAATGTTTTATATGGTATATAAATTATATTTACTAATGTACTTTTTTTCATACCTTAACTTTATTTGCTGAATGTTTTTAAGGGTACATAGTTTATGTAATTTACAATGTTCTCTCTCATATTCAAGGTTAATTAACTTAGACACAATCATGTCTCTTTATTTTTTTTTAATTTCACAACTTCCATTAGTTTAAAAAGAAATCAATCCTAATCTGAACAAAAAATTACAAGATAATAAATTCCTATTCTACAGTATTAAACTGATCTGCCAGGTTGAAAGAACCAATTGTCTTATATAGCTTTAGTTTATTATTTGTCATATATTTATACATGAGATAGATATCATACATCTTTATGGTAATCTTTTCTTTCAGAAATTGAGCAAGAAAAGTTTGAAGTGTCTTTGGGAATGATCAACATCAAACTTGCTGAGCTTTTGAAGCCGTCGTACCAAAAGTGAATCCATTCGTGACACCAATTATCTGACCACCCTCTAACAGAACCAGTGAGGAAGTGATTCTAGCCAATACTTCAGAAGTTTAGGACCCTCAATAATTAGGATCTTGGGGCATGTTGGGGAAAAAAATAGCATGTGTTGATTTTATGGGATCTTTCAAATATAGTTGTGTAGTAGATATTTGTGTACTTAATACATATGTTTGTCACTCTAGTCATTAACTTTGTATGGTAAATGTATATGGACCACTGGAAGATCATTGTAACTGTATACAAATGTTGCAAATATACCCTGTTAAGGCTTTAGTGACCTTTCCCAAGGTCATTCAATGAAGCAAAAGGTCATAATTAATGTTTTTTTTAAAAATCTATTTTGTTTTATTATTAAAAAATGTCATATGTTTGAGATTACTCTAGGTACAAAGGATTTTCTTTAACCAAAAGTCATTTGTTTCTCATGCAGACCGTAATTTACTACATGTACATGCATGTATATTATAATAATTCTCATTAATTAAACCAAGGTGATCATCCAGTAATGATATTTTTCTGTGGGTTTTTAACATTGTTTAAATAATCTTTGATGTAAAATACTTTCATTGATAATACTTTTTAAAATTTATGCTTTCATTATACATAGAAGTGTGTATGCAATATTTGTCCCCAAACACATTGTAAAGCAAAAATGATTTTTTATTTTGAAAATATAGATTTGATTTATGAAAAATTGTGATGTAGTCATTTTTTTTTGTAATTATTTGGCCCTTAAATTATTTTGATTATTCCAGTTTTTGTATTTTCCTGGAATTCCTTGGATTTCCGTGGAATTCCATAGATTTCCAAATATCCTGGAATTCCATGGATTTCCAGCTATTTCCGCAAATTTCTATTCTGGCATTGTTCCGCTCTTTTCCAGGCTAGATTTGAAATTCCATACCATTCCAAAAAAGTTACGTCCCAATACTCTCGAGAATTCCTCGGAATTCCATGGAACACTTTTTCCATGGAATTCCACGGAATTTGTTATGGAATTCCACGGATCTTACGGAAAATCTACATTAGGGTAGGTTCGAATTCCGGCTTTTGATGTCAACAAGACGGATTGTTCTTAATAACGCAGAACGAAGAGACTTTGGAGTAGAGTACATCACCTTGTCGTTGCCAGATGCTCTAACCAGTTTATCAGTTCATTGTATGAAGTTTGGATGTCTGGCAAAGAAGAAAAGCTACAACGATTACCTTTATGATCGTTAATAAATTTATTTTCGATCATTTCATTACATCTCATATCTGAACATGTGCACTCGTGAGAAAAGCGCGTGCGTGTTTCGGCAGCAAAATTACGAATTCTGTAATAACAAGTACTAGTAATTCAGAAGAATGATATTTTAATTTTACAAATATTCATTTGTCATTAAAGTTAATTATTACAGAAACTTATACCATCTTGTACATCAGGGTGTAAATGTGACAAGTGATTGCAGGTGTAAAGACGAAAAATGACCCCCGTAGAATAGTGACCGAAAGTAATTTTTCGACGTTGGAAAATGACTCACGTCTTTTTTATACGTCGAAAAATGACTCCCGGTCATTATTCGAAATCGACAAATGACCCTTTGCCTGTAGAAGAAAGTGGCATCACCCTTAAACATAGGTAATCAAAGATTACGAAGCTCACCTCGACGAATGTTATCTACATGTAAGGCAAATTTCACATATTTTTTTTCTAGTTAGGGTACATCCCAAGATCAATATCCATGCAAGTTTGATTTAATTATAGACCTGCTCAAAAAACTTTTGACCTGTTTAGTAATCAAGAAAATTTTGGTCAGTTCCAACATCCAAAGCAAGTCTGGAAGTTTTCATCCTTAGATGCACCATCTATGCAAGTTTAATCATAACAGGCCATAATATTATATAGCTACTTCAAAAATATTACCCTGGTCACTCATCTGGAAAATGTATGTCAGATTCAGAATCCAAGGCAAGTCTGGAAGTGTCCATCCCTAGATACATCATCCATGCTAATTTGGTTAAAATATGGCTAAAATTCACTCATGTGGAAAATCTAGGTCAGATCCAGCATTCAAAGCAGGTTGGTTAGTGTACATCCCTAGATGCATCATCCATGAAAGTTTGGTCCAGGTAGGGCTTATAGTTACTTGGGAACGAGACTACTCCTAAATCTAAACCTGGTCTCACATGTGGAAAATCTAGGTCAGATCCAGCATCCGAAGCAAGTGTGGTAGTGTCCATCCCTGGATGCATCATCCATGCAAGTTTGGTCCGGGTAGGACTTATAGTTACTTGGGAATGGACCTGCTCCAAAACTTTAACCTGGTCACTCATCTGGAAAATCTAGGTCAGATCCAGCATCCGAAGCAAGTGTGGTAGTGTCCATCCCTAGATGCATCATCCATACAAGTTTGGTCCAGGTAGGGCTTATAGTTACTTGGGAATGGACCTGCTCCTAAAACTTTAACCTGGTCACTCATCTGGAAAATCTAGGTCAGATCCAGCATCCAAAGCAAGTGTGGCCATGTCCATCCCTAGATGCATCATCCATGCAAGTTTGGTCCAGGTAGGGCTTAAAGGTACTTGGGAATGGACCTACTCCTAAAACTTTAACCTGGTCACTCATCAGGAAAATCTAGGTCAGATCCAGCATCCGAAGCAAGTGTGGCCATGTCCATCTCTAGATGCATCATCCATGCAAGATTGGTCAAGGTACGGCTTATAGTTACTTGGGAACGAGAGTACTCCTAAATCTAAACCTGGTCACTCATCTGGAAAATCTAGGTCAGATCCAGCATCCGAAGCAAGTGTGGTAGTGTCCAACCCTAGATGCATCATCCATGAAAGTTTGGTCAAGGTAGGGCTTATAGTTACTTGGGAATGGACCTGCTCCTAAAACTTTAACCTGGTCACTCATCTGGAAAATCTAGGTCAGATCCAGCATCCGAAGCAAGTGTGGCCATGTCCATCCCTAGATGCATCATCCATGAAAGTTTGGTCCAGGTAGGGCTTATAGGTACTTGGGAATGGATCTGCTCCTAAAACTTTAACCTGGTCACTCATCTGGAAAATCTAGGTCAGATCTAGCATCCGAAGCAAGTTTGGTAGTGTCCATCCCTAGATGCATCATCCATGCAAGTTTGGTCCAGGTAGGGCTTAAAGGTACTTGGGAGTGGACCTGCTCCTAAAACTTTAACCTGGTCACTCATCTGGAAAATCTAGGTCAGATCCAGCATCCGAAGCAAGTGTGGCCATGTCCATCCCTAGATGCATCATCCATGTAAGTTTGGTCCAGGTAGGGCTTATAGTTACTTGGGAATGGGACTTGCTCCTAAAACTTTAACCTGGGACGCCGACGCTAACGCCGACGCCGACACCGACGCCGACGCCGACGCCGGGGGTATAGCATAAGCTCATCTCGACTTCGTCGAGGTGAGCTAAAAATTAGAGTACCCAACGTGAAGAATAATGACTCCTTGTTGATTTTGACAGGGATATACATTTATTTGTTTATTTATATTTACTTATTTACTTTTGGTTAAAAAAGATTTAGAATTATAAATCAAAAGGCCCGTGGACTAAAATGTTCACCTGAAGTATACGTTTAATAAGGATAATGGGATGAAAGGTGGATCTCATTAAATCTTTCGAATAGAATGATCTGTCATTTATGACAAAATGACAACATGAAATATAAAGATAACGAACTGTAATCAAGCTCAAAATCCATTGAAATAATACAAATTTGGAGCAGAGCAAATACGGACTTCTAAAAACAGCAGAGCTTGGATCAGGTGCCATGGAGAAGTTAACATTCCCTGTCGACGGTCACACCCGCCGTGTGCACCTGGATAAATCCGTTGACAGTTTAGTGTGAAAATAATAACCTGACAATTTGTATGAAAAATGTCAGTCAACATTCGACTTAATGATACAGTAGGTTGTATTGGCTGACAATGTCATTGTATCGACCATAGAATTTGCGAAATGTTGACTTTAAACGAGACTGTTGATATTCTTGTTTCATCAACTTATTTGTCAGTAGCTTGTCTCGTTTTAGAAATTGTTCGAACGTAGAGCATGCTCTTGTGTATCGAATCAAATGACAGTCATAAACTCCATCTGCAAGTGATAATAGTATATTGCAACATACATGTAAATAAGGGAAGTTGACAATAGAAAAGTTGAAGTTATCACGTTTATCATAAAGTTGCCATCAATGTCTTTCTCTAGTAATATATCTAAATAGGTATAATAAATCTAAAGACACGTAATGTTGTAAACGTTGAGCCCCAAACCTTGTCATCGGTCACCTCTTTTAAACTTTGTATCACTCTTTTGAGATGGGGGTCATTTTCCAACGGGGGTCAATTTCTTATAGGTTGCACAGGTAGAAAACTGACCTAGGATTCGTTTTCCACAAAAAAATGACATTTACTACGGCTGAGGGGGGGGGGGGATTTAT